AGGGCTTCATCTCATAGACAGGGGTGACACTGGTACAGGGCTTCATCTCATAGACAGGGGTGACACTGGCATAGGGCTTCATCTCATAGACAGGGGTGACACTGGTACAGGGCTTCATCTCATAGACAGGGGTTAAAATTACCACTTTGGAAGTTAAGTTATAATTAAATGAGTGAACAATCTGGTCCTTACTTTGTCCTTACAAAATAGGTAAAATAAGACTGGTATTTTCCTTGGTCTTTACCTTTGATGCAGAAAGAGCATTATCAACTTAGCCATGTTTTAAGGAAATGTATTTTGATTGAAAAATAATTCAAGAACCACATAAAAAATACTGTTTTTGCAGTAAGTTACAACAATAGCCATCTGATGCATTTGTACACAATGTAGTTGTTATTTTCCGCATTTGTGTCGCCTGCAACGCGAGGCGACATATATATAGGTATTACTTTGTCGGAGTCGTCGGTAACCAACGTCCAAAACAAGGTTTCTTTGCGATAACTTGGGTTCCTGTGGGATGATTGAGCTCAAACTTGGTACACATATTGCATACCAATAAACCTCGGACAAGTTTGTTTCAGAAGGTTGTTTCACCATATTTGGTGGAGTCATGCCCCTTTTATTGCCAAATAAGGGCATTGTGTAGTAAATGCAAGAACTTTTTAATTTTTTAATCAATTTCTTTCAAATTTTGAACTGGATGTGGATCTGAAGTTGTTTCCAAATCCAATTTCAACAATTGCATATTGCTTTACATCATACTGTAATTGAAAAAAAGAAATGAAATAAGTTTACATTAATTTTTTGTACTTGTCGGTTTTCTATATAGTATTTTTGCAAAAACATTAAATAAAAAGTCACATATATTCTTGTCATATATTAAAAGAATGCCATTTCATATATTAGAAATTCATTTAAATTTATTGTTCAGACACTAGTAAAGCAGAATTTTACCTTACCTATTGTTTTGTACTTAATTGAAATGCCATTTTGTCTGACAGGTATTTATTTTCACTGCAAATTAAAAAAGATCTAGCAACAGGCAGCATGCAGTGTAGTGAGAACACAGCAGCCCTGGTAGCCTCCTACATAGCTCAAGGTAAGTGTCTACATCCAAACACTTCCCTGACTCAGATCGTCTACACCCAAACACTTCACTGACTCAGATTTTCTACATCCAAACACTTCACTGACTCAGATTGTCTACATCCAAACACTTCCCTGACTCAGATTGTCTACACCCAAACGCTTCACTGACTCAGATTGTCTACACCCAAACACTTCACTGACTCAGATTGTCTACATCCAAACACTTCACTGACTCAGATTGTTGACACCGAAACACTTCCCTGACTCAGATTGTCTACATCCAAACACTTCACTGACTCAGATTGTCTACACCGAAACACTTCCCTGAGTCAGATTGTCTACATCCAAACACTTCACTGACTCAGATTGTCTGACTCAGACTGTCTACATCCAAACACTTCACTGACTCAGATTGTCTACATCTAAACACTTCACTGACTCAGATTGTCTACATCCAAACACTTTACTGACTCAATAAGTTAAAAGGAATAACTTTCCTCTCAATCCTCCCCCTAGGGGCAATCCACCCTCTTTAATTATTAATTGTAGGATCAAAGCCTCCTATACTTTCATCAAAGGTGACAAACAGTCTTCTGCAACCCTCCATGGTAAGGGGCAAAATCTTCCTTCAAAACTTTCATCATAGGATAGGGGATGAACCCTCATCTGCAATCATTCATTATAGGGACCGAATCTTCATCATAGGAAACATACTTTCCTCTTCAATCTTTAATCATGAGAGGAAATTGATCCTTTATTGCAGGGATAAAATTTTCTCCAAAAAACTCAATAATAATAGCCTGGGACATGTCATGTTCCACAGTTCTTTATTTGAGGGGCAAAACCTTTCCTCAAAATTCTGTTTTAGGGGACAAACCATCTTCCACAATCCTGTATCATGGTAGCAAACCCTTCCCTGCTATTTGTTACCATATTATTGGGGAAATTGATTTTACTGTTACAAAATTGAGGATAGATTTGCATACAACTGTGCCTTCCTTGAAGAAATTAGGAAACTGTTCGATGACTTCAGATATAATAAGTTATTTATGTGTGAAATCCACTGAAAGTATGATGAGAGACGTGATTATTTCATGGAGGGTGGTTTGTTATATAGGTTAGTGCAGCGTCTAACCTACCATGTAATAGGTTTGTGTTTAGGAAGGCTGCCCTTTTGACAAGGCGATTATAAGAATTTCACTATTATTTCCCATGATATTTAAGTTGCTGACCCAAACATTAGCCCACACGTATTATGTAATAATCTTTTTATCCCGGATTTTATCCTGAGCTGTTGTGATGAACTGTTTTTCCCATTGTCTACCAGACGAGAGAAGGTCACCGAATATTTTCCTGTCTGTGTGTAGTCATGGCAACAACAGTTGTCGTCTGTCTGTTGCTATGGCTCCCACTGGGCAATGGATGTGGGGCACAGACTTTGGCTGTAACAGATTAAATTGTTTTGGTGGAAAATCCAATTTCTCATGTTTTGATTATTAACACCATCAGAGGTTGGCACTCTGACCAAAACAGAATTTTTATGATTTTATTAGACATTTTACACTGTGGTTTTAAAAAATCAATAGTCTGTTTTCATCCTCACTCACTTCAGATTTTTTTTTTTTTTACATTCAATATCAAAAATCCATTAAATTCTTAATTTACTCAAATAAAATGTTCCAAGTTTTTTAATGCATTTTGGGCCCATTTCTTTATTGGTTGAACAACAGGAACCCAATACAGTCAGTATTAAATTACAATGCATTGTTTTTCTCAGATGCCTTTTCACTTTAGCATATTTACAGTTCTAGATTGTTGTTTGAAATTAGAATCTATTGTCTTCAAAATTCAAGTCTTGTTTGAACAAAAATATTTCATACAATAAAATCTTTCTAGTCTAAACCATTAGGCGAAACCCTTCTAGTTAGATCTGACCTAATGATAATAGTAATAATATACAGCATTTGATATAGCGCCCTATCTAGCTAACATAAGCCACTCTAAAGCGCTTTACAGTACATAGATATACAATTTTGATGAATTTGCAGGAGCTGCCTTATCAGGTGCTAACTACTAGTCCTATGCCACCTGGCTAATATCTCCCTATGTGTGTATGCCTGCATGTGTGCTGGAGATGTAACGTGTGTATTTTCATACATCAAATGGTATGGGTGACCTGTTTGATCTCTGGGCTCCTTCTGGTATTAAGATCATAAACTTGTTGTGAAATATATTGAAACAGAAATTAGTAAAAATTTAAACAACTGAATACTAGTAGGTTTTGTTTAACTCTGTTTCTCTTTTGCTTCCAGCGGAGATCGGGGACTTCATCGTAGAGGAATACATAGACCATACATATCTCAAGTCACTAAACGCTTTTGTACCTCACCAGACAGAAGAGCTCCTCAAAAAGCTCATGGAGTATCACCGACAGCACATGTTAGTCATCATCCAATAGGTTTTACCTGTGAAATTTAACCCTTTCCCCCCTAGGTTACATTAGTAGACTCTACTATACATTGATCTGGACGAGTCTATTATGGTTTACAGTGTTGAAAGGGTTAAGGAACAAGTTTGATTGATTGAGAGATCATGTTAATAATTGGTCCACGAGTTATCTTAATCATGAGTGGTTTAGAGATATCACTGATCAGTTGAGAGACAAACTTAATTGCTAATTAGTTGAAAGACAGTTTTAACAGTGATTGGAGAGAAATGTTTAATCAAAATCTCAATCACTGATTTGTTTAAATATAGTGCAAATCTGTGATTTTGATCATAAGTTGATTGAGAGACAGTCCAAATCTTGATTAAAAGAGAGAATATAAACAACTGATTGGTTGAGCGAAGTAATCTTAATCACTCATTGTTTAAGAGACAATATTAAGCACTGGTTCAATGAGATATAATCCTAATTGTTGGTTGAGAGATAATCTTAGTCAGTGGTTGAGAGGTAGTCTTAATCATTGGTTGGTTTAGAGATAATCTTACTCAGTGGTTGAGAGGTAGTCTTAATCATTGGTAGGTTCAGAGATAATCTTAGTCAGTGGTTGAGAGGTAGTCTTAATCATTGGTTGGTTCAGAGATTATCTTACTCAGTGGTTGAGAGGTAGTCTTAATCATTGGTTGGTTCAGAGATTATCTTACTCACTGGTTGAGAGGTAGTCTTAATCATTGGTTGGTACAGAGATAATTTAGTCAGTGGTTGAGAGGTAGTCTTAATCATTGGTTGGTTCAGAGATAATCTTACTCAGTGATTGAGAGGTAGTCTTAATCATTGATTGGTTGATAGATAATCTTAGTCAGTAGTTGAGAGGTAGTCTTAATCATTGATTGGTTCAGAGATAATCTTAGTCACTTGTTGAGAGGTAGTCTTAATCATTGATTGGTTCAGAGATAATCTTAGTCACTGGTTGAGAGACAGTCTTAATCATTGGTTGGTTCAGAGATAATCTTAATCACTGGTTGATAGATAATCTTAGTCACTGGTTGAGAGGTAGTCTAAATCATTGATTGGTTCAGAGATAATCTTAGTCACTGGTTGAGAGGTAGTCTTAATCATTGGTTGGTTCAGAGATAATCTTAGTCACTGGTTGAGAGGTAGTCTTAATCATTGGTTGGTTCAGAGATAATCTTACTCAGTGGTTGAGAGGTAGTCTTAATCATTGGTTGGTTCAGAGATAATCTTAGTCACTGGTTGAGAGGTAGTCTTAATCATTGGTTGGTTCAGAGATAATCTTAGTCACTGGTTGAGAGGTAGTCTTAATCATTGGTTGGTTCAGAGATAATCTTAGTCACTGGTTGAGAGGTAGTCTTAATCATTGGTTGGTTCAGAGATAATCTTAGTCACTGGTTGAGAGGTAGTCTTAATCATTGGTTGGTTCAGAGATAATCTTAGTCACTGGTTGAGAGGTAGTCTTAATCATTGGTTGGTTCAGAGATAATCTTAGTCACTGGTTGAGAGATAGTCTTAATAATTGGTTGGTTCAGAGATAATCTTAGTCACTGGTTGAGAGGTAGTCTTAATCATTGGTTGGTTCAGAGATAATCTTAGTCACTGGTTGAGAGGTAGTCTTAATCATTGGTTGGTTCAGAGATAATCTTAGTCACTGGTTGAGAGACAGTCTTAATAATTGTTTGATTGAGTGATAGTCTTAATCATTGGTTTATTGAGAGATAGTCTTAATCATTGGTTGATTAAGAGATAATTTTGGTTACTGGTTGAGACAATTTTAATAATTGGTTGAATGAAAGATAAACATTTGTTTGTTGAGAAATTATTTTAATCACTGATTGGATGAGTAAATAACAGAATTGATTCTGGTCAAAGGCAAAGTTTAAGCTGACGCAGTTTCAATTTGGAAATAAAATATTGTCAGTTTTGGAGAACTTCATATAGTTTGTATGAATATGAAATTGATAATTACACTTACTAACAAGTGATTTAATGATAAAAATAATAGCTGATAAAATAATAAAACAGTTTCTTATTGCTGTCGCTGGATAATGATTTATTGAAGAAAGAGTTATCATTGAAATGTCTTTTATGTTTGCAGAGGAGAATCTCCAGCAGAAGCAGAATCTAGTCTTTTAGACACCGCCAGAAAGGTGGATACCTACGGTGTAAAACTCTGCCCAGCCAAAGTAGGTGTATGTCCACAGCGGGACACTTCCAGAGTCGCACTTTAGATGTAAAATGTCTAGGAATAGTCCTTATGCAAATATGTGTAGTCTTGTGATATTCGATCGAGGCTTTTGCTGTGCCAACCTGCCAGCCTGGCGATTACTTATCATTAAATATATTTGTCAAGGTAAACATTTCCATGGTCACTCAAATGCAGAGCCTGCAGCAGTGTATAATTATGAAGAAAAAAAATAGGTTTTTAAAACAAACCACAGTTGTATGGAATAGCTTACCGTAAAAAGTGATGTGTTCCAATAATTTAAACCGTTTAAAAAAGAACTAAATAAACACAGGGAAAATGCTAACTTATTTTATAGATAGATATAGGTAAATTACCTTTGAAGAACCATTGGGTTGTAAAGGCCTAACCAATATAACTGTTTGTTTATCAGTTTGTATTGTGTTTGTATTATTGAACGGCCCATCAACAAGTTAAGTCATTTAAGGCCAAGCTAATCTATCACTTCTACCGTTAAACAGTTTGTAAGTGAAACACTGTAAAAATAGTCGTTATTTGTTGGTATGTATGTACACATTCCATGTATGTATTTTTCACCAGGACCACGAGAATGTGTCTCTTCACCTGTCCATCGCCCACGTAGGCATCCTTGTCTTCCAGTTACATACGAAAATCAACACCTTCTCTTGGGCAAAGGTCCGCAAACTGAGCTTTAAACGCAAAAGGTTCCTCATCAAACTTCACCCGGAGAGTTACGTAAGTGTCCATAGAATGGGATCAGGGAACTATGTCAGTTTTGTGATCAACAGAGTATCTTGTAGAGTCAAAGTCATAGGGTATTCAACGTAGGAATTCTTCGAAAAATTAAATCTAGTTTGTGTAGAAAGAGACAATTCGGCTTCAGTGACCAGCACTCCGTACCAACCTGTTGCTGTTTGTCCACAGCTTTCATTCTGCCTTGCTTTATGATTGAATGTTTGAAAGATGTGTCTAAAAGTAGAGGTAGATCTATCAGACTAATATCCATCAAACTATCAATAGACAGTTGTTAACATCTCATTTAAGCTTTACTTTTTAATGATCAGTGATTTTTGTATGTAGGAGAAAGTAAAGTTTGAACACTGAAATTCTGAGGAAAAAAATGCTTTTTAAAACAATGGATTAACTTTATTAAGATATTGAAATGCTTAAAGTTTTGAGTTGAAACATGGAACCTTTAGTATTTGTTCAGTATTTAGGGCAAGACAGAGTAACTGTCAAGGACATTATGTCACTTATCGTTAGGGAAGTGTAACTGTTAGGGATATTAGGTCTGTTTGGAGTTTGAGATTGTTTAAGGATCACCATACCACTACCAAAGCCTTGTTCAATCATTTCTGAAAATATATCCATACTTTGTCATGCTTGTATGAAAAAAGAGAGAAAAAAAAATGAATTTCCGAGTGAAAAAATTACACTGGGACTAGACCGGAATTTGACCCCTTGACCTCATACCATTATACTGTTGCACTGACCAACTGAGCTCCTTGGTCAACAGAGGTATCCTGGACTATTTCAGCTGTCATGATATCAAAAATTAAATTAAAGGGAGGTTACTCTATATACAGAAAAAATACAGTGGAACTCTTTAGTGTTTTGTCTGCAGTGGTATGGGAGTCCTTAACTGTTAAGGGTGTACAGTCAGTGTTGTGGCTGAGATAACATAAGTTATTAAATCAGAACCTTTGTTTGGCACACGCTTCTGACATCACTGCCACACAAGCACGTTTCAGTTCACACTAGGCTGAAATTCTCACTGAGAAATGTTTCCACATACACTATGTTTTCAGTAACACGCTTCGTCTTTCTTATTCTTTGATATGCTATTATCCATACTGGATAATAAATTAAAAATCAGGGTAAAGATTAAAAGGTATGGACATTTTAAATAGGTGTAGTATTGACAATATGTACCAGAAAAAAATATTACAGGGTGAATTATAAACAAAGCCACAGATTCATTTTCAGGTGTTGAAGTTTGACAGACAGAAAAACAATTCCAACTAATGTTTTTGCAACAGTCCTCCTTATTTATTGAAATCTTAAACTATTTTGTAGTATCTCTATGTTGTCTTATCTGAACAGATGAAGTAAATTATAGTTTGACAGGACAAGGATTCCTGTAGAGCCTTGCTATTTATGGGTAGATTTCCAGGGTGATCTCTTCCACATTTCACATTCCATAACTATTATGAAGATTTTCTGTTTGTTATAGAAAAACAAACATTTAAGGAAGTAGGGTGCTCTTTACATATAAATGAACTGCAAATACAATTTGATTGTCAGAATAAAGTTTCATCAGTTTGGTTTGAATAATAACACAAACAGGAATTGAAAACTTGAATTTATTTTCCTACAAATACAATAAAAGGTTGAATTGTGCTATACCTTAAACTCTCTTAGAGATAGCTGCTCTTCATCTTTCTACAAAAGAAAAAAGTAACTTCAAACTCTCTGTTGGTACAATGTAGCTATCACACAGGTATACAGTGCTTTACCCTGCATGCTGTAATACCCAGAGATTTACAACTATAGTTCAATTTTCGTAAAGTACTAACTTTCATTTAATCAGGAGTCTCTCCCCCACCCCCCACCCCCCACCCCCATGGCTTAAAAACTTGCAATATTCACCATAGAATTCACAATATGGCGGTTTTGTATTTATTATGGTGTATTCAATTTTAGGGAAATAAAGTTTGATATGATTGTATAACTGTTAGTGCTCTTCAATACGAAGTATTCAGATGTTTTGAACTTTTATAAATTTGGAATGTTTAACTATTTTGTTGGCCAGTGTTGTATCTTGCTATGATAAGCATCCTTTATATTTTTCCACAGCCTGTCAAAGATAAGGTGAGATAGTTAACGATCAAGTTTGACACTTTTCTGTAGTATGGGAGAATTATTTGCAGAATGCACAGAAATGCTGGTTAACGCTTCAGATTTGCACTTGCTTAATACTTCAATTGTAATTCTATACAAGTTCTTCAATACATTTCTATGATTGATCATATGTCAAAATGTCTCGGAAGATTAATTTTCCATGGTAACATTACGTACCAAACTCAAATTATACATTGGAGTTTCTGTAAACTATAATTTTCACACTTGGATCTTTCAAAAAGAGACTTTCCTAGCATTGAATATTCCTTCTGTGTAAATTTTGGTTACTTAAGGTGTCTTCTGTGAAATGTTTCAAAAACATCAACCTCTTGCTTTAAATTAATCACATTTGGTTGTGCCAAAAGAATGGAAAATATAGCAGAGGTGAACTTTTTTCCGTTATACATGTTGCAGCCAATTATTCAGATCTGTTGACAACACTAAGCAGATGTAAAACTGAAGATTTAATCTATATAGATTTCTCTGCTCTTTGTCGATGAATAACCCACACTCAGTACTATAGAGTAACCAACTTCAGTGAGATGCTATGAACTAGAAATGTGCATGATATTTTTTATTGCATTTTTGGGATATTTGAGCTCCAGGATTTCTCCTAGGTTTTCAATAAACATCCTCTAGCTGTTTTATAGATTTGGGATTTCCTCACTCACACTGGTTTACAGGTTTGGGATTTATTTCCCAAAGCATTTTAACAGATTTAGACTTCCCTTTATCGGTATACAGGGTAGGAATTTCCTTCCCCTAGATGTTTTAACAGATTCGTGATTTCCCCTTGCTTTTAAACAGTTTTACGATTTCCCTTAGCTGTTTTACAAGTTTGGAATTCCCTATACTGGTTTTAAAGGTTTGGGACTTATCCAAGCAGTTTTTAGGTCACCTGAGACAAAGTCTCAAGTGACCTATTGCGATCGCCTTTTGTCGGGCGTCATCCGTCGTCCGTCCGTAAACAATTTACATTTTCGACTTCTTCTCCAAAACCCCTGAGCCAATTTCAATGAAATTTTGCAGAAATCTTCCATGGCCAAAGGTCAACAAAAATAGTTGCCGGTTTGGTCCCTGGCCCCCAGGGGCCTGAGGGGCGGGGCCAAAAATGGTCAAATTGACTAAAATTTCAAAAATCTTCTCAAGACCCAGATATGGTAGAATCAAATACTCTTCATAGATTGAAGGGTCTTAAGGTGTTCTACCAAAATTGTGATTTTCTTGACCCTGGGGTCTCACTGGGGAGGGGGTAAACTTTACTATAGTTTATATAGGGAAATCACATTTTTGATCAACATTGTTTAATTTCCATTGGAAGTAATTAAATTTAGGTTAGCATTATCAGTATTGGGTAGCAGTTTGATGGTATGCACATATGAGCCCTGACTGACCCCTTGGGGCTGATGGGAGGGGCTAAAAAGGGTTGATTTGACTGAAATTTCAAAAAAAAAAAAAAATCTTCTCAAAGACCCAGATAAGGTAGAATCAAACACTCTTCATAGATGGAAAGGTCTTAAGATTTATGACCCTAGGGTCTCATTTTTACCCCCTGGGGAAGGAGGGGGGCAACATTTATAATGGTTTATAATGGCAAATGATTCTTTGGATATTACATGTTTATAACTTGATTGGAATTATAACCTTGAGTTGACAGTTTGATACTTTGAACATTTTGAGCCAGCCCTACCCCCAAGGGCTGTAGGGTGGGGCCCAAAGGAATCGGTGTGCTATTTTTTTTTCATTTTCCTTGTTTAGGATCAGAGGTGCTAGTTTCCAATTCTTTTTAGTCTTAAATCTGTATGTTAGATATTGAATAAGGTGGTTTTATTGTTTTTTGTCACTGAATGATATTTCTGTTTGTGTTAAAAACAATATCAACTCTCAGTATAAATACATCAGGTGACCGCTAAGGCCCATGGGCCTCTTGTATATGTTTTATATTCCCCCTAACTGTTTTACAGGTTTTGGTTTCCCCCTAGATATTAATAGGTTTGGGATTACCCCTAGCTGTTTTATAGGTTAACCATTTTTATAGGTTTTTGATTTCCTGTAATAATTTTATTTTGCATAGGGTTTTCCCTCTGCAATTAAACAACTAGGTTCTGGATTTCCCTAGCTGGTTTTGCAGAACTGGGATTTCCCATTACAGTTAAACAGGTTTTGAATTTCCCCTGTTTTACAGATTTGGAATTTTCTCTAGCTGTTTTACAGGTTTGGGATTACCTCTAGCTGTTCTACAGGTTTGGGATTACCACTAGCTGTTTTACAGGTTTGGGAATACCTCTAGCTGTTTTACAGGTTTGGGATTACCTCTAGCAGTTTTACAGGTTTGGGATTACCTTTAGCTGTTTTACAGGTTTGGGATTACCTCTAGCTGTTTTACAGGTTTGGGATTTTCACTTGTTGTTTCACATATTTGGGAAGTTTTCCTGGGTGTTTGTCAGATTTGGGTTATGTTTTGTTCCTGTCATTTATCAATGATAAATGTAGAGTGTAGAGGAATTGAAGATGAGATTATAAGACATAATGAGTAAGGTTAAGTAATGTTAGTTCTTCAGAGGTAAGTTGATTGCATTGTCTGAATATACAGCCCATAGCTTCAATTTTCTAACTACCTTGTACAACGTGGAGGCCAGGGCTCAATATGATGGAATTATTTATTTAAACAGGGTGCATCTGTTTCATCACCGACATTCAAAGATAAGGTGAGGTTAAGCTAGAATCTAGTTTATGCTTTACCCTGATGGCTACAAATTGAATGAAATGTTTTGAAACTTTTTGCATTATCTGAAATGCATGATAAATTTTGTTATTGTGTTTGATGGAACAATGGTTACAGTATGTTCAAAGTGATAGTTAAAAAAAGTAAGAAAAAAACACCTCAAAGCTGAACTGCATGCGTCTCTTCTTGCGCTTGATTAGTTGCTATGGAAACAAACATACATGCCAATTAGATGTTTTGGTGTTGAAATTTTTAACTAATATTTGTAGACAACAGAAATAATTTCATTATCCTTAGCTTTTGTATCGTTAAACAAAGATAGGTTTGTGTGTGTATTTTTTGGGGGTGAATAACACTAACTAGCATGGCTCCAACTCATTTTGTGACAATGCTCACCTTGTTGATTGGTATAGTACAGTTACATCTGTACAGAATTTAATAAACTTTAGAACTTCATTGTCACATACTCAAATTGGATAATCTTAGCTTGTCACCTTGTTATTGCATGGGGGGGGTTATTATGTTCCAGAATTGGCATATATGTGTTACATGCCTTGTTCCTACTCTGCATCTGCTTCCGTCTTTTGTTACTCTGTGGTCCTAAATGATAGACTTGAGTACAGACTGATCTTCAGGGAAAGAAGGAACTTTTCAAAAGCACTGGTCCTTGATTGATGAACAGTAATATAGATATGCTTGCTTCAATATGGTATCTGACTAAAACTGAAAATAAAATGAATTTATTTATTTACGAACAACGCCAACAGATTTTCTTATACATATAGATGTTATATTTTAATATATAGTGTTCATTGCTAGCACCAAGGCCATCCATAATTAGGTTCGTGTAAGGCACTAAGTATCAAGCCTTGAAAAGGATCTATATAAAAAAAAAAAGTTTGCTTGCAGTCAACTAGAAACTATTTCAGCTTGTCAGTTGCTGCAACACAGCAGCATATTATTTAACTGTTTTTTTCTCTCAATGAGTGTTGTACATAGTTTCCATAAAAGATAGTTCTGATGAAGGAAAGAACTCTGTTACATTTTCTTTTCACCATTTGTATGCTGGAGTATGATGCTGGCCTTGTGAATGCTTGTGTCATTGATACAGTGTACAGCTTATCTAAATTCATCTAGCCGATTAATATTACCTGTTTATTTGTTTGTCTATTTTTATTCGACAGTGTAGGTACTATAGATAAGAATGCTGGACATTAAAAGTCTCCTCAATTTCTTCTCGTTCACTGAAATTGTACTGAAGACATTTAAAATTTTCTGTGTGATTATGATGCATTTGATTTTATTCTTAATACAACATAGACTGTCATTGTGACCAAAAAAGATTATTTCTTGGTATGCCTAGCTTTTACTTCCCCTCTCCCTGTCACATACTGTGTTACCGCATGTGAGGATTCGGAAGACTGTCATATTTATTTGTTGAATTTGTATACCAATGTTTCTGTAGTGTAGAGACATCATTTGTTTGGCATGATTTTTCTAACAACTTTACAGTCATTTGGTGGTTTATGTAAAGGGGAGATAACTCTGATGGATACGGAGGTCATTTGTCCCTTGTAATTAGTCTTTTGTATTTATAGACATCTGGATAATGAATATATCATTGTGTATGAAATCAGTAAATAATGTCAACCTTTACAACTAGTCTCCTTTATGCAGGTGTTATTCAACATTTGTGACTTTTACACTTTGGACTAAAATTATGAACCTCTGCCAAAAAAAAATAAAAAATGCAAAGACTTAGAAATGTGATGTCTGAAATAATTTTGATTTGTAGAATTTTTGAAAATTATCTTTTACTTTAAGTTTTACACCTGTTAAAATTGATACACAGTTTTCTCCACGGTCATCCAAAAGTTCTATTGTTTTGTGATTGGCTAAATTCTCTTTCTTTGTTTCCAGGGTTACTATAAAGACACTGTGGAATTCTTCTTTGAGAGTAGGGATGAGTGTAAGATATTCTGGAAAAAATGTATCGAACATCACGCATTCTTTCGTTGTCATACCATAAAAAAGACGCCTAGAAACAAGACACGACTGGTCAGCCGAGGCTCCTCCTTCAGGTACGGTTGTGATGGCTACATCAGTCGGGTAACACATGGTGTTAGGAATACTTGTTTATTCTGTTTCCAATTGTACGAAAAATTTCAATACTGTGTCTGTTAGTCCGGATAAAACGCAATGCAATCTACAATAATCCGAAAAACTCGCAAAACATGTTTTGGTGGTCTTGAAAACAACAATGCAGGCTGTAATAGTCTTTGAAAAATGGAAGCCACTTTTCAAAGAAAATCACAATATGGGGCTTTAATAGTCTGAGAAGCTAAAGATATGGACTCAAATAGTCTGTAAAATCCCAACATTGACACCAATAGTTTGGGAAAAGTATGTGTTGCAGAAATCATTCGTGATAAAAACAGCTTTGAGAAACATGGCTTTAATGTAAAGTTAAGTGTTATAAGAGTGTTATAAAAGAAAAATTGGTGTGTTGGATTGGTATCTAGATGAATCCTGTATATATACATGTTTGTCAGGGACAGACTTATTATGTATGTAAAATAGTCCTTCAAAGTAGTTGTGTTGTTAACTGGTTGAAGGATTTCTTAACCTTATACATTGATAACTGTATGTGAATAGTGCTTACCTATACTGCTCGACTTAATTCTTAAATCTTCAAAAGATCAGCTCATTATTAAAAAAAAAACCTTCTTTGGAAAAAAATCATCGCGTCTTTAGACCGTGTTTTATTTCATGTACTGATGCTCAGATTGTTAGTTAAAAATATCCTCAATCCAAATATAGAGGGGAATGTCAACACTGTATGTGTGATACCATGACTTTGTTAGCCTGCCTCATCCTAGTATCCTGTGTTTGTGTACACAGGTACAGTGGCCGGACCCAGAAACAGCTGATGACCTACGTGAGGGAAACCTGTGTCAAGAGTCCCGCCTTTGAAAGGTTTGTATAATAACTATTCCGGGATAAGCGTCTGGACCGACATTCTTTTCTTCACCATCTAGTTGCAGCTTTTCTCGGGGAAACACCAGGGAAAGATAAATGGGCTTAAATTTTCATTTGAAAATGTGGTGATTGTAAAAACGTAATTGTAAATTGTAAACCTGCATTTTGAGTAGGATGAACAGTAGACTTTTCTGTAAAACTATGTGCGGATATTCACTTCAGCTTCAACTCATTCACCCCTGAAATTTCATAATGAACTTTTCCAACCTTTGAATTGAGAGATTTCAAATGTGTCTTCAGGGGTGAATGACTTAAAGTCTGCAAAAAGTGACTGGTGTGAAATGTTAGGGGTTGACACTGAAACTAGCACCGCAAACATACTGTGATGTCACCCATTTTTACCGGGGTTTTAATTTTATGTATTTCATAGGTAATTTTTATCTATGAATTCATAGGAAATAAACAATTCTCCATTTGCTCATATTTCACAAATTCATGCACCAATTAAATTGTGTTTTGTCGGGAAACCCCGAAATTTGGGCCCCACGAAAATATCTGATTGTGCAGTAGTTTTAGAAAATTAACAAGGTTATAACAGTATCCTTGTCACTCTTATTTTGTTATGTAGATGTTTTTCATGTCGAAAGAGTTGGTCTTAAATATAAATATCTCATAGAAAATTCTGTGAAGCAAAACAGAATTAAAGATTATATGTCTCATACTGTTCATTTCTTGAATACAAACTCTCACAAAATAGTTTTTTAATTTAAAGTGCAAAAATAATTGGTCGCTGATTTACAAAAATTGTCCCCAATGCTCTATTTATATTCTAACTTCTTACTACTGTAGTATACTGTAAAAATTTCACTGTAGGTTAAATTTAATTTTTCACCCTCTGTAATGAGGGAGAATTTACCATTATGGTGAATATAAGTAAACATTATTATGAACATAGCAATTTAATTTGAAGGGCGAAATAAACACTGGGCGAAATAATTTTCATGAGCAAAGGGTGAAAATTTGATTTGGCAAAAATGTCCTGGTATACAGTATTTCTCGAGAGAGCTAACAATGTGGCAATATTATTATAGTCAACAGAACACTAACTGTGATATAGGACAACACTGTAGATTGAAAACACTGTCCAAATCTTTGTCATACTATATTTGTTAGACCTCTCTGTTTGAGATTATTAGACTAAAACAATGACATCCTTGTTTTACGGGCTTCGCTTCACAGGACTAACACAAAGTAAGTTAGTGTTGTGACGGTATGCTGGTCGGCATGGTAGCGATCACATGACCCATAGAGCACCATTGTAGACTCTGGAGCACTGTTGTTACGTGGAACTCATTGTTGTTTTGCGTGTATAGATAGACAATGTTTAGGATCGGTGTTGTTGTGTGTTTAGATAGAGGACACAGATGTTGTTGAATGAAAGAGCGAGGTCCGGAATCACAGAATCTGCAGTAAATGGTCAAAAATGATTATGAAAGGATAAAAATAACTTTAAAGTAAATTTTAATTTTCAAAGGAAATTGTTGTGAAGCCATTTGTTAACCTATTTGAGAAAATTTTAGACACAAATAAAAAAAAAATGAATGTATCCTGTCATCAGTGAACTTTTTCCCCGTGTTCTCGCTTACTAATTGCAATGAATTAAACACAATAAGATATCTTTACGTTGCCAATGCAGAACCTAAAATGTAGATCACACTAAGTTAGAGGTTAGTTCCTGCCATTTACAAAAAGGGCAATGAAAGTAGTATAGGTTTGTTGTATTATTATATTTATTTTTTATGAAATTTTTAATTTATTTGAAAAGTTCCTTCACAATACAATGTATTGAATTAAAAAATGGACTTTTTATGCCCCACCATAAAATGGTGGGGTATAGTGTTGCCCATGTCTGTCCCGTCAAACTTTATACAAAGGGGGCATTCATGTCTTTTAAACATATTCTTTTTAGGTCACCTGAGCTTTAGCTCAAGTGACCTATTGCTNAAGCTTTGTCATTTTTACCTTTGGAAACTCATTTATGGCCTCTAGATTTAGCAGATTAGCAACTGTATTGTTTTTCATAGAGTATGTATGATTCAGCAAAGAAGTTGAAGCAGATGTGTGTGTTGTTGCTGAGAGTGTGATAGATCATAGTTCATCCTTCAGAGGTTTAATTATGTAACTGTGTAATGGTAAATGCTGAGAGATTTACTTGTTCAATTGGTGTAGCATCAGAGGATCTTTGTTGTCGTTGTTAAGATTCACCCCTGAAGACACATTCGAACTTGTCCAATTCAAAGGTTGGAATAGTTCATTATGAAATTTCAGGGTTTCACCAATCGTGTATATGTTGTTTAGTACCTGTAGTTTTAGGGTTTTGTAGATATTTGTTTATATTGAGGTATTCATACACTATTGGTCACTGTTTCTACTACTAAACACCGGCAAGTAGATATGTAGTATTGTCATTTATATGAGACACAATGTGAGAGACCTGTTTTGTGGAGTTCTGTAGAACTTAGATTCTGTATTAAGGGTCCATCAGAGGGGGAGGGGGAATGTCATCAGAGCCCCTTGTCAGTCTGAAATTACAGATAGAGATTAACATTTACAACATATCAAAGAATGAATTTTACAGGTTGAATAATTGGATTTCCTTTCCTATTATTTTCTATGTGTCATTATGCTGTATTAAATCTCTGTGTATTATGTATATGCTGTAAAAATAGAAATTCTCGCCTATGGAATTGTTTGCATTGCGACTTTACAAAATGATTGGGGTTTTGGCTTTAGCATTGGTTCATAAATGTATATGTTATATAGTTTTATAATCTGCATAATTTATATATTTTTCTATAGAAATTTTCATGCCAATTTTGTCAGAAGGGAAGAACATCAGCATTGCCATGCTGTGATAATTTTAACTTTTACAGTATGTAAAAACTTCCAGCTAATACAGCAAGTTTTCTGCATCTTAGCCAATTTGACTTTGTTTTTGCTAACTGTATTGGATTTGTCTTGATATGTAGTAAGCTAAAAACTTTGATGAAGTCGAAGAAAAATACCATAAAACTGTTCTCATGCCTAAACTCAGATTCTGTGCTCATGTCCGATTTCTTGTTCAGGTGATAAATTGATAAAAAATATTCATTTTGTCAATGATCTGGTAGGAATTTTAAGACTTAGCACCAAATACCACTTTTAGTTTTTAAACTGGACTTTCTGACCTTGTCACATCATTAAAATGAGTTACAAAAATGTTGTATTGAGCACAGAATCCATGCTTGAACATGAGAATGATTTCATGAATATGAACCTTGTGTTCCTCATAATTCTCCCCGATGTAATCTTTGTACCTATTCTGTACTTTCTCGCCACCATGCCAACCCTGTGTTAATATACTTTAACTGTATATTGTAGGTCTGTCAGTGGGCGTATCTCATGTAGCCGGAGTGCCAGTGTTACACCTAAGATCTCAGCTAAGGCGGGGCTCCACAACTCTACCACAGACACTCACAACAGCACCGCATCCAGCGGCTCACACATCCTGTCCCCGGGGCTTGATGACCCGACCACACCAAGTCGCACAGAGACAGCCGAAGTCCACAGTGTGGACAGCTCGCTGTCTGGCAGTCGGTCACTCCCATCGCCAAAGCTTGACCGCAGCAGAGAGGGAACGCCTGGAGCTGAGGTTGACCTTCCCGATGACGATGGTGTGGCTTCCCCAGAGAGCAGAGTCGACAGAATCGACGAAAGAGGTGCCACTTCTACTTTTGTTACTAATGCTATAGTATCTGCACCGCTAGATAGCAATCCTAATAATAACCAAAATGTGTCAGCCAATCAAAATGCAAATGACAATGATGAAAACAGCCAATCACAATCTTTCTCTCTTTTTAAAGATGGGAAGGTTAAAAAATTAGATGAAAGTTCTATGGATACTGAGAATAATTTGTCTGCTACCTTCCCTACTAAACCACACCTAACCAAAGATATAGAGCATGTTAATAGTTCTGGTGAGGGACCAACAAAACCTAACCTCTCTAGTACAGATACTCTGCCCTCTAATCTTAAACATAATGTACAAGATTCCTCCCCCGAGGGGCTGGGGACCTTTTCATACCAAAAGTCCCCAAACTCGACCCTCGGCAGGGAGCACAAAAAGGTTGTGTTTGCCGATGATATTAGTTCCCATCCGACGCCAGGTAAGGTTTCTGAGGGGGAATGTAAGCAAGGCGAGATTGTCAAAGGTAAGAATAAACAGGAAACTGTTGTCAAGACAGGTTCTATGCATGTTAATGAGGAAAAGGGAAAATCAATCGGTCATGAGAAGCCATTAAGAAAATTAGTCCATCAAGACTCCGGAAAATCCTTGAGCAAGCAGGATAGCTTGACAAAAAAATCTACCAATCTTGAAAAAGGAGGAGGAATTTTATACAAGGGGGAAATAGTTTCCAGTTTCGATAGAAAAGCTGACAGGAAACTGATGAAACAGGATAATGTAATAAATGAGGACATGCCAACAAACAAAGACCTGGCTACTGATAAGGCTTCCAAGAAACTGTCACACAAAGAGCTGGTCGCTGATAATACCTCTAGGGAACTACCGCAGAAAGAGGTTACCACTGATAATGTGTCGAGGAAACTGCCTCAAAGGGAAGAAGCCGCTGAAAATGTGTCCAGAAAGCTGCCACAAAGGGAAGAAGCCGCTGAAAATGTGTCCAGAAAGCTGCCACAAGACGTCTCCAGCGATAAGGCTGCTAGGAAAGGTAGTGTTACAAGGGAAAGTCCAGATAAAAAAGCAGTGCAACAAGAACTGAAGAAAATGGACAGCTTTGGTAAGGCTGAGGTCACCTATCCTAAACGTACTGGTAGCATAGAGAAATTACAAAAACTTGACCTGAATACAGGAAGTGACGCAGAAAAACCTGTTAGAACCGAGAAGGAAAGTGAGGATAAATGTAAGAATGAGCTTAACAAGAACAGGGGTGGAAAAAATACTGGACTAAATGGTGGGGAAAACATGATTGGGGATATACCATATCTCCTACATCGGCGCCACCTGGAAAAAAGCCCTGAACCTGTCAAAACAGAGGAGGTAACTTCGCCAACAGACATGGATGAGATCATATCGAACAGGAGGAGCAGAAGCTTGAAGAAGAAACGGCCGTCAAACATGCAGGTGCATCAGGTTAAAGTTTACGAGGGGTCTCTTCCTGTCGTACCGGACAAGGGAAAGACAGAAGTCAAATCTCCTGTGAGCGAGGGCAACAGTCCAGTCAGTCCAGTTAGTGGCGGGGGAAGTCCCTGTAGTGACACTTCCAGCCTGGGCAGTGTGGCAGGCAGCCCTGTTACTCCGGGGAGTGGTGTGGGCAGTCCTGTGAGTCCAGGTAGTCGAGGGGCCAGTCCCATCAGCCCAGGTAGTCGAGGGGCCAGTCCTATCAGCCCAGGTAGTCTACAACAGAGGATAGGCAGTCGTTCACCCTCAGGAAAGCGGGGATACCAGAGCCGATCCCCATCAGGTAAACGTACACCATCCCGAACGTCCAATGACAGGTCGCCATCTTGTAACCGGCGGATGGAGATTGTCAATTATCACCGGCTGCCCCATAGAGATAGCTTCTCAAGCGTAGACGATACCACAAGTCCCACATTTGAGAAAGACATATTAAAACAGATTCAAAATAAAGAAAACATCAAAGAAAATGATTCTGCATTTTCAGAATGTAACGGAGAGGTTATCAAAGATGGGACTACACTGCCCCCTCCACTTTCTGTAGCTAAGGTGCCACTGTCAAGTCATCAAGCTAGCGAGGATAATAAATCTAATAATAATCTAGAAATGGTGGAAGACATCACAGTTGTCCAAAATAAGCTTAACGACAACCTGGAGAAGCGTCTCTCTGAGGACAAACTCGCTAGAAAGGAAGCAACAGGGTTGCCAACAGATTCAAAGATGTATGGCCTTCCTCAACATATAACACAGCAAGTTCAGCATTCTTATAAGGCTACCAGTGATAACCCTAAAATGGCTAAGGCCAATAACCCTTCAGTAGTAAATGCGTGTCAATCTGGAGATGATCCAAAAAATGTCAGGTCCAGTAACCCTACGCCAGTCAGCTGTCAACCAGGAGAGAGGGGTAAACCTGGGGTATATATAAGTAGACCTGAACCTTCCAAAGTGGGTAGTGTACAAACCGCTGTCAACAAGACTTCAGCTTTCCATATGAAAAATCCTGATAAAAAAGCTAAGGAACCCTTTAGTCCTGTATATAGACCGACTTTTAGTTTGAAGCAGAGTAAAGACTCTGCTCTTTCTGCTCCAAAACAAGAAGAAACACAACCAAAAATCACAACAAAGAAATTAAACACCGACGGAAAAGATAATACCTCGGTTCGCACTAAACCAGCTTTACCATGTCGAAAGCCTGCTTTACCAGGTAAAAAGCCAGAAATAATGAGCAAGAAACCAGCTCTACCAGGAAAAAGACAAGATCAACAAACTAAAAGGACGAATGCATCAAGAAAAGCTGATCAGGTGAGTTTGGATTTTTCATCCCCAGCGGCAGATTTTATATTATCAGAAACAGACTATGCAAGTAAACCCAATCGGAACAGCATTACATTTTCTACTTTTAAACCCCCAGACTCCAACTCAACATCGCCACGGCCACTCAGCCTAGTCAGTGTTGATGAGAATGAGGAGGAACCATCAATTTCACTTGCAGCCGACAAGGATCCTACGGTAAGGCTTAATCAGACTTTCCACGCACATCCTCCAGAGAATGTGTTCCGCCCAAGTCCAAAGCCAAAGCTGAAACTGGGGCGACACCCGAGCGATCAGGGCATTGAAGGTTCAAAGGTCAATGAGCCACGAAAGTTCCACAAAGAACGTGGCTACATGTACAGTTTTGAGAGCGTCAATGATCCCCCTAGTGCTCAGATGTTTTTGAGTGGATCAACAGATACGGACGTCCAAGGAAGTCCAGAGAGTGTGGAGTCGGTGGATATGCTGGAACCTCTGGAAAACCTGGAGGAAAATATCTCTGATGGGTCAGAATCTTCGGTATCCGAAGGGAGCAACTCAGAGTTTGGGGATGACAGTGAACACGAATGTGACAGTAGTGATAACGATGATGCTGAAAGACATAAAGAATTCTTACAATTTGCCAAAAGTTTAGCTGACTCTGGCAAAGAAATCACAGTTGATTCTGGTGTTGGTATCGAGTTATCTGACTCTGGTATTAAGGATAATTCCCCGTTAGATCCTCTGGATCAGCTAGAGACTTTGGAAGGGTCGGTTTACGAGGATGAGAATCAAAACTTACCTCCACGCAATGACAATAATGGAAAAAGGCATTACACTAACACAACGTTAAGTTCAAGTTCGGATGAATCTTACCATGAGAGGATTGTTCGGAACAAGCGGGTAAGCGTGGACCCCCTGGAGAGTCTTGAGAATCCCCATATAGCAGAGCTGGCATCACTTAGTGGAGATTCATATAGCGATGAATGTGATTCCGACGATCACATGACCTCCAGACACAGACTTGGGGCCGCCATTCCAATCCTCACCATCAGTACTGCATCAAGTCCAGACGACCCTCACAGGAGCCCCTCAAGTTCCCTTGACAACGAAATTAGCCAATCAAATCCTTCTTAGATATATGAATTGTACAGTATATTATTTGTTACGACATGATTACTCTTCTTGTAATTAGCATATTATTGAAACATGATGGAGATACAATTTTGTATTATATTGATTTCATTTTTGACTGCAGATTTTTTTGATTTTTTAAATGTTTTTAGTTTTTGCATGATCAGCACAATTTAAGCATGAGGCGCTAGAAGCATTATATTTATACATAAAAATATACTATGTATATGTACATTTACATACATTTCGTTTTTTAATTTATCTTGTTTTGTTGTGCATGATGAAAGGTGCAATTTGTTATATTTTGCTGAAGTAGGGTTTTTTCAGTCATTTTGATTTACGTTTGTTTATTTCAGTTTTATTTACAAATGGATGTCCAATTTTGTTTACATATTGTTGAACCTTTTTTGTTGATATTTTAGAGATCCCTTTTACAGTATTAATTGATTCTTATGGAATTAGTCCATGTGTTTATAATATTTACGCCAAACTCTGTGATTTAGGAACTAAACCAATAGATCAGTTATACAGAACGAAGGGATGTGACAAGCACTGTAGCTACTTCAAGTCTGTCATATAATTCTGTTACATTATGACCCTTGCTACTAGCTCTTTTTTGATTTGCTACAGATTTTAAAAACTATAAAATACATATACAATGTAGCTATATATGATTTTAAACTAACAAATAATTTAACAAAGAATATCTGATACAGTGTGTATATGAAAAGTAAAAGGAGCAGGAAAGGGCCGAGGTGATATTTAAGGAATTCAAGAGAAAACTATTTTATCTCTTAGTTTTTAAACCATTAATGAAGACGGATTTATACAGATTGAAAGATGGATGTGATTTACTTATATTAAGTTCAGGGTAAACCTTCGGGTGTCTTGGTGATGATCCAGATGTATTGTTATAGTTCTAGTCAGCACAGCTGTTTGAATTGCTGTGGTATACTGATGATGCCTAGTCAGCCCAGTTGTTTGAATAGCTGTGGAATTTTGATGATTCTAGTCAGCCCAGCTGTACGGACAGTCATTGTATTTTGATGGTTCTAGTCAGCCCAGCTGTATTAACAGTCGTGGTATTTTGATGGTTCTAGTCAGCCCAGCTGTATAAACAGTCATGGTATATTGATGACTCTAGTCAGCCCAGCTATATGGACAGCCATGGTATTTTGATGGTTCTAGTCAGCCCAGCGGTATGGACAGCTGTGGTATTTTGATGGTTCTAGTCAGCCCAGCTGTATGGACAGCTGTGGTATTTTGATGGTTCTAGTCAGCCCAGCTGTATGAACAGTCGTGGTATTTTGATGGTTCTAGTCAGTCCAGCTGTATGGACAGCTGTTGTATTTTAATGGTTCTAGTCAGCCCAGCTGTATGGACAGCTGTAGTATTTCGATGGTTCTAGTCAGCCCAGCTGTAAGGACAGTCATGGTATTTTGATGGTTCTAGTCAGCCCAGCTGTATTAACAGTCATGGTATCTTGATGGTTCTAGTCAGCCCAGCTGTTTCTATGCAGCACAGCTGGCTAGAATTATCATAATTAACACAGCTGAAGAAAAAAGTTTGTGATAATAACAAACAATTTAAAAATGTACTTACAATGTCCTCTGGTCCATAATGTAAGGGTGTAATATGCCATGGTATAAGCTGTTTAATGAAATTTGGAAAAAAGCTTGATGTTAGGAATTTGCCAATTCTAAGTAAAAAGAGATAAAAATTAAGGAGTTTCCCCTGTACATACGAAAGGAACATTATAAAGTTTGTTCTGTTTATGTTTTGCATTTGGTTCCAATATATAGTTTTCTGTTGTTACCAACACCATGATGAGATAGCATGTGATACTTTGTTGATATTCTATTGAACGTTTACATAGCTGTATAAATAGAAAACTTGACACTTGTGGACCGGCGTCCCTTCAAGGATTTTGGTTGTATGCTCACTTATTACTGAATTGGATGGCCAGTGTTTCAACAAGACATTTAGATATATATATCCATCTTATAAACAAATAATTAGCAAAAGCCTTCTGGTCTATATTGCATAACCTTACTTGTAGAATTGAATCATTTAAGTAAAAGGTCATTACATTTTAATATTTCATTTTTTCAGTTCTTTTATTTAGTTTTATAAAAGCAAAAGTTGAAATTTTCAATTAATTTTGTTTTATAGAAACATTCATCTAGACTTTGCCAGATGACTAAGGTACAGAAATGTGTTGGAGTGCTATCTTCTACTTTATTTTTAATTTTTTGTAAGCTATTTCCACTTTTCCTGATATTCTTCTAATTTTCTTCAATTCTGTTCTATCAGGAAATCTAGAGAGTGTTGACAAGTCAACTTGAAAAATTAGGGTACTTTCAATACTTATGAATATTTACAAAACACATTTGATGAATGAATGTCTTTATGGATTAGTAGCTAAAAAGGAAAAATTGAATTGAATGCAGAAACTTTCAAAATTCTCAAAAACAAACAAGAAAACAATAAAGACACAGTTTTCAGTTAAATGGCATCTTGTGGTGATGGCATTGGATCCTGTCAGATCAGGAATAGAGTATTAGTTGTTGATAGGGGATGGGCGATTCTTTGTCTGTGTTAAGGTACTTTCACCAGTATAACCATAATGCTAGAATATTAGAAAATTTATACTAAATGTGATGCCCTTGAATTGGTTGCCTTTCAAGTAACGTTATTGCGTGAGATTGATGTCCTGTGAATTTGCCCGGGGAACAAACAATCAAAGTTTCTACATACAGAACTGAAGCACTACACTAATTATCAATGTACCGGAGCTTTAGGGTTTTACTGGAAAAACTTAAAGATATAGACTCTTAACTTCAGTGATTCAAAAAAGTTGTTCTGATGAAGATTCAGAAGTTTGCCAGACTGCCTGAGTGCTGGCAAAGTAGATTGAAACCTATTTTAAGTTTCCGAAACAAAACCTGTAATTAATCACTTTGTACCTGATACCCTTATACCCAGACAACAGTCGCACCGTAACACATTACGTCTATCGGTTATGAGTTTACGGAGCTTTTATCATCTTGTATGTATGGTTTATGGGAGATAATTTAATGTCTTCTTCGTTTGAAAAATTGCCAATGTAAAAATGGATTTATGGCTGATGGAATTGTCCGGTATTGTAAACCAGTTCATCCTGGTCCGAGGTTTCATGGTTTACTGCGTCGTTGAGGACAGCCATGTTTAATGAGGTTGTCTGGGTTACGTCTTGTCTGACACTTTCAATAATCAATCATAATAAAATCGGATTGGTTCATTTCATCAAAATTGCTATCATAATCGTTTAATCAACAAATATTACTAGATTACAGAAGCATACAAGGAAGAGATGCATGTTTAATTATTATAAATCAATTTTATTGTTGTAATATGTCACGTATAATACATTAGCGTATACTGTGTTTGACCCAATCCCTGGACACTTAGCAATTTGGGAAAGAATGATCACAGAACTTTCTGAAATTCTCTGGAAAGGCCATACGATACACTATTTGCAAGTTAGTCCGTTAACTTTGGTGAAAGGGTGGTATGTTTGGATGCCAAAAATTGTGGACGGTACTTACGAAGGATAGGTCATTTATTAGTTCAAATACGATACAGGGTTTCCAAATAAAAACAATATCTGGAACTTTCCTAAACCTGAACTCTGAATTAAGTTGTCATACTTTGTAAACAGGATTTTTCTGGAGAAATCTTACATTAAGGATGAAATGTCGAGATAAGCTGAAGTAGGTGCTCGTCACGAGAAATCACATTTCTCAACAGTTAGCAGTGAATCATTGTATTTGGTGATCCTTTGTCTTGAGTGATGTCCTAACTAGATAGATGTCCTTATTAGAGAGATGTCCTAACTAGATAGATGTCCTTATTAGAGAGATGTCCCAACTAGATAGATGTCCTTATTAGATAGATGTCCTAACTAGATAGATGTCCTTATTAGAGAGATGTCCTAACTAGATAGATGTCCTAACGGAGATATGTCCTAACTAGATAGATGTCCTAACTAGAGAGATGTCCTAACTAGATAGATGTCCTAACTAGAAAGGTGTCCTAACTAGATAGATGTCCTAACTAACTAGATAGATGTCCTAACTAGAGAGATGTCCTAGCTAGAAAGATGTCCTAACTAGAGAGATGTCCTAACTAGAGAGATGTCCTAACTAGAGAGATGTCCTAACTAGATAGATGTCCTAACTAGAGAGATGTCCTAACTAGATAGATTTACAGTGGTTTACTATCTACAGTGTCTTGTATGCAAATGTGTCTTGAGAAATCATATCTCAATAGGTCAAATCATACTTCTATGTACCAATTTGGTACAGTTGTAATGTTGTGCAGAATTATTACAGCCTGTATCTTAATATTGTACTGAAAAGGTATCAAGTAATGTTGTACCAAACTAATACAGGCCGTGTGTTAGTATTAGGTATGGTGGAACAGTGGAAAACATTTGATGCCATTTTTAACGTAAATGAATTATATTGGGTGGGAAACGTACATTTCAGTAAGGAATTAACAAACAATATTTCACCTGTACTGAAATTTAAACTTGGCTGCTTTCATGCTTCTGTGAGCTGGAAAACTTTTTCTGCTGCAAACATCTTTAGGATTTCAATCATTAATATACACTTACGTCAACTATGTAGGCTTTTTGCTTCGAAAACTTTCTCTTTCTTTGATCAATCCATCTGATCCTCTTTTTACTAGATGTTGCTTAACTATATATTTCTCCTGACTGGGTCTGATTTCAGAGTAATACAAGGTAAATCATTAATACTTTGGTTGAGGGTACCACTAGCATGTGTATTCAGGTAGTGAAGCTCAGAACTGTATGTTGGGTCAAATGCTGGATTCCGCACCATGCATAAAGGGGAGAAACTCTGACATGAATGCCATGTATAAAGGGGAGAAACTCTGACATGAATGCCATGTATAAAGGGGAGAAACTCTGACATGAATGCCATGTATAAACTTCTGAGAGAACAAAATTTATAGAATTCACTTAATGTTGAAATTGATGGGAGGAGTATTTGACCACAATATATTGATGGAAGTTTTGTTTGTTTGTTTACAGTTTAAAAGTTGATTGATACTTTAAGGTCATTACACATTGAAATAATAATGGGGCTGGTGATCACAGAAGGAAAGTTCGAAAAAGATGGTAGACTCATTTAGGGACCTCTTTCACCATAGAA